AATCAAAATCATGACAACATTTCTGTACATTTTTTAAGCCATATCTTACAGTTAATAAAGCGTTTAACATTGCAAAATTCATTTTATTTCTGTGCTTATTTTTAACGAAATTTATTATAGAAAACGTCCTTTCAACTTCTGCGTTACTTAAAGGTAAAAGAAGCAACCGATAAACAAACTTTTTCCACCACTTAAGCTAGCGAACACAATGAACAGTTTATTTGCGATCTCACGATGGTCGGTTCTACGTTCACCAGATCGACCCGGTCACTCCGGCCAAGGACCATCACTTCAGCATACATCCCCGAATTCACAATTTTTCATCATCGGAGCAGGACCTTCCGGCAACTCTGCTCCGTATTCTCCTCGTCCGCGCCGGAATCGAAAAAAAACCCTGGACCTTACACGTGCAGTGTCTGCGAACTCAGAATTCACCACCGCTCTATATCGGTGCGCTGCACAAATTGCAATCGATGGTGCCATCTCAGACAGTGCTCAGGCCTCAACAGCCACAGAGAATGGCAAGCAAACTACATCGCAGCCTGTTGCCAGCCTGTAACCACCGCAACGCACAACCAGCAGCCAGGCGAACCAAACAACACCCGACAGCAACATGCACCCCGGCAACAAAACACACATAACCTCAACTTATCACACCAAACGCAACATTACTCAGCAACGCAAATGCAATCACATAACCCCAACGCATCACACCAAATGCAACATTACACAGCAATGCAAATGCATACCAGAGGGCAACGTACGCAACCACACCCACATGCACATCCCGCAACTCAAGAGCGGCAACAACCTAGCACCACCAACAGGCAAGTCTGGCTGTGCTGTGTATGCAACAACCGCATACATGGCAACGCCACGTCCGTTCAATGCAGTGGCTGTGAAGGATGGTGCCATTTCCGCAATTGTTCAGGCCTAAATAGCACACGGGACCGGTTACCCAACTATCTGGCTCCCTGCTCCCAACCACCAACACCCTCGCCCACTCAGCAAGCTAATCCTACGTATCTGCAACCTCGAACGCCAGAGCGAGCAACTACACATCAGCCGGACCAGCAATCTGAAAGCCACCACAGACTAAATGAACAACCCCAAACTCGGATCTGGACATGCACGGTATGTGCAGCCCAGATCCGCGCCAACGTAGCATCCGTTCAATGCAACAGGTGCGAGGGCTGGTGTCACTTCCGCAGCCGTTCGAGGCTGAGAAGGCTACGCGACCACTCCAGCGCCTACGTCGCCCCCTGCTGCTCCCGGCCACCAAACACGACCTCGGCGGCCACACCACACACCCCCGCCATACCGCCCTCCAAACAATACCACCTTCACAACAAAACCAGTCTCCACTTACACCGGCGGCCCGAACAAACCAACGTAGTACCATTGCCATTATGCACATCAACATCAACGGCCTCCAAGGCAAAATCCCAGAGGTGACCGACTTCATGTCGAGGCATAACATCAAAATCGCGGCAGTACAAGAAACAAGGCTCCGCAGCGGTTCTAACCTTCTCACCTGCGACGGATACAACGTAATCCGCAAAGACCGCCTACGCGACAGAGGAGGAGGCATCGCTTTTATCATCCACCACTCAGTACAATATAGAAGCGTCACGCCTGCAATCGACAGCGCCGACCTCTTCATCAAATGCCAGGGTATAGCCGTTACTTCAGGACACACCGATCTGAAAATCATCAACGTCTACATCCCACCCATCACCAGTTGTACGCCAGGATATCGTCCAGATATCAGCCCCCTACTCATCGGAGATAACACGCTAGTGATAGGCGACTTCAATGCCCATCACGAGCTCTGGCACTCCAACCTCGGCAACGACCAACGGGGTACAGCGCTGTCAGAGCAAATTGATGACTCCACCTTCTGCTGCCTGAATGACGATGCCCCAACGAGACTCACAGACACTTGCAGCAGCTCGCCTGACTTATCTATCGCAAGTGCAAACTTAATCAACTGCACCACATGGCGAGCCATGATCTCGTTGTCCTCCGACCACCTTCCCATCATACTATCTATTGACCGCCCCAACGACTTTGTTCGCTCCGAACGCCGTACCTATGTCAACATCAAAAAGGCCAACTGGGACGGCTTCAGAGACTACGTGAACACCCACATAGGTGCCCTACCAACTCCACCAGACGCTCGCATAGCCGAGCGTAAATTCCGCACGGTCCTAAACGCGGCAGCTGCCCGCTTCATCCCAGCCGGACGCATACCGGAGATCCGACCAGGCTTTCCGACCGAAGCGGCAAGACTCGCTGACGTCCGTGACCGAACCAGGCGAGCCAATCCCGAAGATCCTAGCATCAAGGATCTTAACGCTGAGACCAAGCGCCTCGTAAACAACCACAAGAGAAATAAATGGTGGGAGCACCTCAAATCATGCAACCTTCAAGAGGGCGTAAGCAAGCTATGGACTACTGTAAAGTCCCTCTCGAATCCGACGAAGTATAACGACCACACGGCCATCAAATTTGGCAACGAAATTCTCACCGACTCCAAGAAGTGCGCGCGTGAATTCTGCCGACAATTTATTGCACACCCTGCGAGGAGCATAAGCCAACGCCGCACACTCCGCAAAGCACACAACATCCGAGCAACTGACACACCACCAACATTCACACCCAACGAAGTACAAGACGCGATTCGTAAGGCCAAGGCATCGAAATCGGTCGGCTCAGATGGCATCTCCATGCTGATGCTAAAGCAATTGGATGCCCCGGGAGTCGAATACCTCACCAATCTATTAAACGCCTCACTAGCCACACACACCATCCCAGAGATATGGAAAAACGGGCGAGTAATCCCCCTGCAAAAACCTGGGAAGAACGCGGAATTAGGTGAATCCTACAGACCGATCACACTCCTCTCCCCGGTGGCCAAAACCCTAGAGACGCTACTCCTCCCGCAACTGACTCAACACCTGCATCTTGCCTCACATCAGCATGGATTCAGGAAGCTACACAGCACCACCACTGCATTAAACACCATCACGGCGCAAATAACTGACGGTTTGAACCAAAAGCGCCCCTGCGCCCGCACCATCCTAGTGGCACTAGACCTATCAAAGGCCTTCGACACCGTTAATCATGCAACACTTATAGAAGACATCATCTCGTCCACCCTACCGCCGCACACAAAACGTTGGATTGTTAGTTATCTCTGCGGGAGGCAATCATCTGTTGTATTCAGAAACAAAACATCAAAGCCACGTAGGATTAAGCAGGGTGTACCACAAGGCGGGGTACTATCACCGATCCTGTTTAACCTATACATAGCGAAACTCCCACCTCCACCTCAGGGAGTCTCCTTAGTCTCATACGCGGATGACTGTTCCATCATGGCAACGGACAACAACATCGACGGCATGTGCACACTGCTCAACCGCTACCTCGAGGACGTGTCCCGATTTTTCACAGCGCGCAGCTTACAAATCTCGGCCGCTAAGTCAACAGCTATACTCTTTACCACGTGGACAAAAGAGGTGAGGCTCGAACTGAACGTGTTCGTTGGCGGAGTCAAGATTCCGACAGTCAACCACCCAAAGATACTAGGCGTCACGTTCGACAGTCTCATGTCCTTCTCGGCACACACCACCACAGTTTGCAACAAACTGCGAAGTAGAAATAAAGTGCTCAAGTCGCTCGCCGGCAGCACTTGGGGAAAAGATAAAGAAACTCTGCTTGTGACATATAAAGCGATCGGCCGGTCCGTTGCAATCTATGCCGCCCCTGTGTGGACAGTAGGCACGAGTGACACGCAGTGGAAAAACCTTCAGACATGCCAAAATGCCGCTCTACGAACCGCGACAGGATGTCTCCTTATGTCCTCCGAACAACACCTACACGACGAGACTTCAATGCTCCGGGTAAAGGATCACAATATGCTGCTGTCAAAACAGTTCCTGCTAGGCTGTCACAGAACAACTCACCCAAAATACAGTCTGACATTGAGAGCAGAACCACCAGGACACGTAAGGAGACACCTCAGTCATCTAGAAGCAGACATCGACCAACATCTTAATTCACCACTGATCCGCGAGGCATACCTTGAGGGAATCAACAACCTGCATCGCGAAGCAGTCATCTCCGCTACACGAGGACGCCACGAAAACATAGTCCTCGGTGGCCGACCGCCTCCCATCGATATGAGCGAACTCCAACTCCCGCGCGAAACCAGAACCACGCTAGCTCAACTCAGATCTGGCTGGTGCAGCCGCTTAAATTCATACAGAATCAGATTAGACCCAGAGATCGCTGACACCTGCCCAGCATGCGGAACTGGTCCATACAACACCACACACTTGTTCGCATGCCCTACATATCCCACCCATCTGACACCCGAAGCGTTGTGGACTCAACCTATCGAGACTGCTCGCTTCCTGGGCCTAAGGTTGGAGGAGTCAGATGGGGAAGATGAATAAACAACCAACCAATTCGGGGACTACGTGCTGCTACAACAACAACAACAACAGTTTATTTGCCTTAAAGGAAAGGCGTTCGCATTATGAGCGAAGAGATAAATTCATGAAAATCATATAAAAAATTTTAATGTCAATGATGAATAAATTTTGAAAAGGGCTAGGGGCAATTTCAAATTTTTGTGGCCAAAAAAAGAATTTGGTAGCCAAATTTAGCCACCAAAGGGCTAAAACGGCAACACTGCTGACAATATTGTCTGGCATGAACGAAAGACACAGATCACGCTTTCCCGAAAGAAAGAAAAAAGTTATTTTGTAGCTGTTGAAATCTCGACGCCATCTTTGTTGTAAGAAGTAAACAACGAAGAGAACAAAAAAAAAACGCGTAATTGTTGAACGCATGAATAATCATTTTTATTATGCAAATTCTTCTATAAATCATGTTATGTGTGCACACGTTGTCACAAGCGAAAATTAAGAAAATTGCAGTTAAAAGCCACCACCAAATTGTAAACAACGGCTAATGTCAAAGTCGCCTAACTTTTTTCCTAAATGCGATTATAACGGGCTACTAAGAAGAAGGTGTGATCTTGTATTTTTGGTTCATAATTGTCTGGTGTAAACCCTAAGTATGGTCTTTTAAACTTTGGTACTTTTTCGGCAAATTTTCCTAATTATTGGATGTGGCCGAAATCGCTGTCGTTTTACTAGCAAAATCTGAAAACTGCATCATATATGTACATATGATATCCGTATAAGATATCCTTTTCATCTTCGTGTAAAAGCCGATATTTAATTAAGATGAGTATTCCCTCAGATACCAACCCCGCTCCTAGTCCTACTTATGACAATGGTGACGAAGAAATTATTAACTGGGAGGAGGAAGCAGCTGCGATTATACGAGATGTTAATCCTCATGTTGCACTAATTGAAATCTCCCGACAACTGCCCAACAACGAGAGTAAAGTGTACCTGAACGTGCGCACTATCGAGGGTCAGGAATACTGTGTGCAAGTATCGAGTATTGGTTTTCGCGTGGTTGCCAATAGATTTGATACAATTGATGCTGATAAAAATGAAGTAAATGAGGACGAAGGGGAGGTTTATGAAACGCCATATTCTTTGTTAAATAAAATCAGTCCCAGCTACGTGGAGTCCTTTGGCAATCAACTTTGCAAACAATTACTTTCTGTACAACAAATGCGTACACAATTCAATGAAGAAGACGAGGAGGGTGCCGATGAAGATGACAGTGAGTGCACAAAAGAGTCATTGTGAGAAAAGAAGTCTGATTCTGACATTTTATAATCGAGGAGAGCCAAAAGAGATTCAACCTTAAACTAAATGAAAGCTGAAAAACAAATACAATTTAGCTGTAAGCAATTTCCATTTTAATTTATGCTTGTAATTATGCATTTTAAGTATGAATGTATGTCTGAAAAAACGAATAGTTCCCACATTGTTTGAATGAAAAGCAATGCGATTAATTAATGTATTATAGTGTTAGCCAGATGGGTTGTGTGTACGTTGTACAACTTCCATAGCGAATCATTTGTGTATATTTAAAATTTTAAACGCTTCAAGAATAAAGATTGTGCCTGCAGCTCCAGTTCAGTTAGTTTTCGTACAACTGGTCCCAACTGTTGCACATGATCCTTATATCCAGTGCCGGTATTTAAGTTCTTTTGCCCATAAACAACTTTGCCATCGAAATCATTTACGGGTACTGACAATGATTTATCAACTTGTTGAATGGTAATATTCAAATGATCCTCTATTTCCCCTAATAACTATCGGGCGAAATCGAAAGTCAGAGAAAATGTATCTGTTGGTACTCAATTTAAATACGTTCTAAGCGTACTTACATTCATTTCGTTGTACCAAATGCAGCACCCACGCACATCAGTAAGGTTTGTATTCTGGCATTTCTTTCCGCGCGTTGGGCACCATTCTCCGTGATACCAAACCTGTTAAAAAATATATGGTATGAACTAAAAAATAACGGTAAAATATTCTATTACTTTTTCTGGTACAGAAGCTACTAAGCTAATAGCCAAACCCATACGCTCAGCGCGACCTACACGACCAATTCGATGAACATAATTTGACTTCTCATCAGGCAAAGTTACGTTTATCACTGAAAGTGGGGTTTGTGAGAAAAAATGTTATAAATATACATATATCGGATTAACTTACTAAATGGCAGGCCAGTTATATCTAAACCTCTTGCTGCTACATCTGTACAAATAAGAAATTTTACTTGTTCACGTTTAAACATTTCCAAATTTTGCTTGCGCTCTTGTGGCCTACGATCTCCATGTAAACAAACACAAGAGTATCGTTGGCCGCCACGCGACTTGAAATAATTTTCCAAATTGTCACAATCCAACTTAGTACGGCAGAAAATAATTGCACGATCCATTTTATGTTGCTCAATCGCACCTATGCAATATTCGCCTTTAAGTATTTTGACTGCTTCTGAGAGTGTCTCAGGCGTGGGATTCTGTGGATTAACATTGTCGCGTGCATGTACACCATCGGTGCGTATGTGCTGTCTAATATTGTGCCATGCGGTATCCTTTTGTGGGTCAACCATGCAAACGACATGATGCACAGTTTCTGGTACTGCATCTTCGCCTTTAAGATCTACCCAAGTGGGGAAGTGCATCAGACGATCTGCCATCTTTTTAACTTCAAACGCATGTAGAGTAGCAGAACAGACAACCATTTGCAGGCGCCGCCCATCCGATGTAATTTTCGGAATTTGCTTGTGAAGACGTTCAATCAAATCGGTATATCCTTGCTTAAGTAAAGCATCAGCTTCGTCCAGCACAAAAAATCTGTTATAAAGGTAGTCAGACATGGTACAATAATTACACGTAATAATTGTACCATGGTAGTCAGCTATATTTTATTGCAATTGATTAAGATTTCTAAAGAAAAAATGCCTAACGAAAATATGTGATTTCGAAAGTTACCTGCAGTGTGTCAGTTGAACAAAACCACTGCTAATCATCTCTTCTAGTCGGCCAGGTGTGCCCACCACAATATGCACTCCTTGTTGTAGGGAGCTCTTCTGTTGTTCCAGCTTAACCCCACCAATTAGCAGAAGTGAACGCACATCGGGGTTGCTCAAATGCACACGAAACTTTTCAATTTGATTATAAGTTTGCTCCGCTAATTCGCGACTAGGCTCTATAATAATAGCCTGAGGTGCATTCGGTGCTGGCTTATTAGCTGCAGCATTTGTCGCTGGACTAGCGAGCGGGTTAGCCTTGGAGCGCTCTGTACCTGCCTGACATACAGCGATGAAGCCGTCCTTCGGTGGATACTTAAATTCAGATTTTCCGAAATTAAATAACATTTCTGCATTTTTTAAGACAACAGCTGGATAAAATGTCTCGTTTCGCAGATTTTCCGGGATGCGAAATGCTACACCTAAGTGTTTACCATTCTTAGCAAATGACACTTCTAAGCGCTGTAGGTCTAAAAAGCAACCAATAACGTCACTTTTCCCAAATGCTTCACCATAATCATCAAACTGGCGGTTGTTTGACTTCTTTCCGGTGCCACCAAATCCGAAGCCATTCTTACAGGTACCGAGATCCAGGTTAGCTTGTTGCGTTGACCAACCCACGCGACAGAGACCTTCGTCTGTGACCGTTGTCTCAAAGTAGAATTGGCCTTTGCCACGTACGCCAGTTGTTGCTCGGCAGCCGTGCCATTCCTTAAACTCACGAGATTGACAACGCATTCCATCCGGTGTTACAGCAAGTGCAGCACCGCGATCAAAGAAGGACATTGTCCAGGGCGCAATGCTACCACCAGCACTAGCAGTTTTGCTCACTTTTCCCTCTTCGAGATCGCGTAAGGTTTCCCACACAATTTGTAAGATGGGTAAACAGAAAGCTCCAGTTTTGCCAGAACCAGTTTCGGCTGCCATAAGTACATCACCACCACCAAGAATGAGAGGTATTGCCTCGGCTTGCACATCCGTGGGCAGAGTCCACTCCATGTCATCAATAGCTTTAGCGATTTCCGGTAAGACACCAAATTCTAAGTAGAAAGCAGTAAACTTTAAAATCCCTCATATGCAATAAACTTCCTCATTTTATTTACCTTCAAAAGCAGTCATTTTTGCGAAATTACCACGACTTTCTTTTAATTAAACACCGGCTGAAAAAAACCAGAATATTAACATAAGGTGTGTTCAATCCACAATATAACTAGAAGCTCGATATCGTATCAATTATTCTGAATATCGATATTTCATAGTGCGATAATCGATTTTTTGAAACGATACTCCCAGGCGATACATCGAAGACATCGATACTTTACCCGAAATATCTTTATTTAAGTTGAAATTTATTTTTCATCTACAAAAAAGTGTATGGGAAAATACTAAGGGCCGGTTACTCAATGTCTGGTTAACACTAATCTCCGGTAAAACATCGTTATCGACGTTACGGACTCCATGTTATATGCATGGAGCCGAACACGTCGATAATGATGTTTAAACGGAGATTAGCGCTAACCACATATTGAGTAAACGGCCCTAAAGAAGGTTTAACGAGCAGCTTGCGTAATTAAAGGCCAAAACACAATAGCGCAGTGGCAGTGGCAGTGACAGTTTTTAAAATCAGCTGTTACTGCTAATATTGGCAGTCAATGCCGCAGCAAACACAATACGGCGTTGTCAGTGACTGCTTTTTTTGACATTCCCTTTTGTTTGTTTACATTTTTGTTGTTGCCTTTTAGGCTTCAGTGACATCAACAGATGTTGGCTGCGTTTCATTTATGTCAAATTCAGCATGCGAAGTTTGCTGCGATGAAGGCAGTGGCAGTGAATTTAGAATTTGGGCTAAACTGAGCAGTACTGCTAGCTGCCACTGCTGTATTGTGAGTCGCTTCATTGGACACCACACTTTCTAAAAAACAGCTGATTTCGAAAAACTGCCGCTGCCACTGCCACTGCGTTATTGTATTTTGGGCTTTAATTACCTCTTAAGTTTGACAAACCGCTTGCCTGGTGTATACGGCTCTTAGGGCCGGTTGTTCAATGTCTGATTAGCACAAATCGGAGGTAGAAGCTCCGGTTAAGCAGAACTACTGCTTTATCGATCACATGTTACATGCATGATGTCGAAATCGTCGATAGTGTAGTGGTAGTGATAACCATACATTGAACAACCGGCCCTTAGGGCCGATTACTCAATGTCTGGTTAACACTAATCTGCGGTTAAACATAGTTATCGACATTACCGACACGTTTTGTATGCATGGAGTCGAAAACGTCGATAACTATGTTTCACCGCAGATTAGTGTTACCGGCCGTGTTCACGTGCTGGAAAATCTCGCTTGCGTGACGACGCATGCGAGAAACCGCAGGTGTAGACCGCAAAAAGCATTCCCACGACAGCCGGTTCTACGTACCGGAATGACTCGGGTTTTACCCGACCAAAGGCTGTTGTTTCGGCGATCTAACCCCGTTTAGGTCGGCGAAGTATCTCAGAAGTTGTCCGTCCATAGGGCTACATTCACTATGTATTCTTCTACTCAGGGCTGGCATCGAGTCAAACCCAGGGCCAGAAACCTACACCTGCTGTGTATGCCGGAGACGATTACACCACAATTCCACCTCAGTCAACTGTAATGCCTGCGAGGGGTGGAGTCACCTCAGAGCCTGCTCGGGATTACGGACACATAGACAGTGGACCACGTCGTACGTGGCCCCCTGTTGCTCAAACAGAGCAGCCTCCACGGCTAACCACAGTCCGCCCGAGCAGCCTCACACAGTCACCACAACACAACAACATAATAACACCACAGACCATACCACAGCCACGACAGACCACATAACACACACAACCGCACCACCACCCACACGCCGCCGCCAACAACTCCTGGTTCCCCCTACAATCTGCACGGTATGTCAGACCAGAATATTCCCTAATGTGACATCAGTCAAGTGCACCACCTGCCTTGGCTGGTGCCACTTTAGGGCATGCTCAGGTCTGCGTACCACGCGAGATTGGACTGGGAACTTCGAGGGCCCGTGTTGCGCTGCTCGGTCGCAGACCCCAATTGCGACGCCCCCCGTCACCACCACAGGGCGGTAATCATCACAGCAGCGCACACAGCCAACGGCGGCAAGAACACACACATCACTTACACCCCACATCACGACACGTCTCCCGAACCACATGAAGCTCCTTCAATTTAATTGCAACGGGCTACAGAGCAAGTTTGAGGCGATAACCGTCTTCATGTGTCGGCATGGTATATTGATAGGTGCGGTCCAAGAGACGAAGTTGCACAGCAATTCAACTTTGTTGAATTGCGCCGGGTACAACGTGCACCGTCGAGATCGCGAGCGAGATATTGGTGGTGGCTTAGCGTTCATCCCGCACCACACCGTGCAGTATCGTCTAATCGAAGCAGACATCGACCGCAGGGATACCACCCTAGAATGTCAGGGCATCGCTATCCGGTCAGGCGATGTCGAGCTCGAAATATTTAACATATACAAACCCCCTGTCACCTGCTGCCCGGCAGGATATCACCCTGATATAGGTGCGCTCCTCAGAGGTGAAAACCGTATGGTAGTAG